TGATAGGAGGAAGAATTATAAACTTATCAGGGAATACCAAGAAACATATAATTAGTTCACAGAATTACTGGGGTTTTGGACTTTTTCTATCGTCCGGAATTTTAGGTAATAGAGGATAAGACGTTTCGGAAACTGGATCTGTTTCCGTCTTCAGGTGAGAAAGGAAGACACCTACTCTGTTGGGCCCCTTACAAACAGCTAATCTGGCTTCCCATCGCGGCGGCCCGGGTTCGATCCCGGGTCTGGTCAAGTGGGATTTGTGGTGGTCAAAGTGGCGTTGGGGCAGGTTTTCTCCGAGTACTTCAGTTTCCCCTGCCAATCTTCATTCCACCAATTGCTCCACAATCACCCTCACCTATCATCTGGGGCTGGTACAATAGGCCAGAAGTGGCCGCAGTTCAAGGGACTTAGTCATACCCCACCAGCAATGAAAAAAAACCGCCCAGCAGAGTAGGTGTCTTCCTTCCCCTCCTGAAGACGGAAACAGATCCAGCTTCCGAAATGTCGTGTCCTCTATTACCTAAAATTCCGGACGATGGAAAAAGTCCAAAACCTCCAGTAATTCTATGTGTCATCCACCATCGTCAGAACTCTTTAGAATATAATGAGTTACTTGGAATAATAAGCAACAAATTAGTTTTCTTACTTATAGTTTGGTGTGACTTGCTTACTTCGCCCTTACTGAGGAATCACTACTGCTGGAAGAACATAAATATATCTAAAAGCTCGGGAACCCCGTATTTAAATATTATCCGGAGATGTGGATAGCGGAATGGTAGGCCTGCTCCGAACTGGTACAACAATTTCTCATAGTCAATCAAGGACTGTATATCTTTCTTTAATGTCTGACAATCGGATGTCAAGGCCATCTGGAACCAGCTGCTTTTCACTTAACTTTCGTTCCTCCTCTTACGAGTGAAGTACGAAACAAAATCCGATGCAGATAAGACCGTTTCCTCCTTATTAATAGGATAATCGTCCATGACAATTAAAATGAGTTTTAGAATAAAGAATGTTACACCAGAAAAAAAAATAATATTCATTTCCGGGCGACCCGTCCTGAGGAAATTCAGATTAACAAAAGCAGGCCTGCGCTGCCGTCTCTTGTTCAGTGCAGATTCATTTTTTAAAAAAGCGAAAAGCTGCTTGGACAAAGAGGAAACCATCCGAAGGTGGGGAAGCAGGTTTATGTAACATTACTGCACTGTGTAGCCTTCACTAGCAGTGATCCTAAATAGCAGTAGCGGCCGGGTTTCTAGATTATGGATCATGAACCTAGAAGTAGAAGGGCAGAGAAAATTACAAAGTGAGGAGCTTCATACGCGCGGTGAGACATGTGCATGGGTGAGAGAAAGACTGCACAGGTACTCATTTTTGGTAGAATAGCATGAATATAAAGGAAAAAGAATATTTGCAGTAGAAAAGATCACTTGAAACTGCTAGATGTAAGTAAGACAATATTAAAATTGATAAGAAACAGAATTTTAGGATGTCGACTGGGATCTTCTGGCTCAGGATTTCGCCTAATGGCGGCTTCTTGTGTGTGTCAAAATCAACATCACATTTTCCCTAAATGTCCGGGACTTATTGACTTTTCCACGGAGTTAGTTTTCAGGCACAGAATTAGGGCTCTCCACCATTAGAGGCGACTTAAATCTGACCAAGATACCATTGGTTATGTTTACTTCAGGCCTGTCTACTCAATAGCAGCGGTCCGATTTCTTTTATGAAATGTGGCTCTACCCGTATATTTGGCGTTATCCGTAATACAGAGCGACTCATATCGAAAAAATGGCGGCAATATATAATCATTTACCGTTAATTTTCTTTTTCACTGGCTCTACAACCCCCTTGGGCCCTGGCCTCTCATTTTTCAGTTTTTTTGATTATTTTAAAGACGATAGGACTTCTTGAATGATTGAACAGCCCGTCGCGAGGCCTCTACCTAAACACAGGACAACACAAACACAGAATGAACACATACATATACCAAATATCTATGCCTTGTGTGGGATTCGAACCCATGATCCCGGCTTCCGAGCGAGCGAAGACAGTACATGCTTTTGACCGCTCGGCTACCGTGACTGGCATTTACTGTTAATATCTACGCATAAACAGGGAGAGAAAGTATTTTCAAACTAACAATTTGGAAAGAAACAAGTGTAATTATGAACGCCAGAATATTCTCATATAAAATATTCATAGTTAACTTACACTTGGACATATCCAGGTGGCAAGACACACAGTCTAATACAGCGCATGATGAGTTCTGTCTTCTGAAATATAAAGCCGTGTAGTTCGTTGAAAGTCAACCGACATTTCGAGGGAAAATGTCAACTCCAACCTCAGAGCCAAAGAATTAGCCAAGCGAAGTACCATCACGAGACAGCGCTCTGCTTGCCACCTCCTTCACGCTGGTCTCTTGTTTGGCTTATTCTTCGTCCCTGAAGATGGACGAGACATGTTCCTCCGAAATGTCGGTTGACTTTCAGCGGACTACACGGCGTTATATCCCACAACCACCGATGCGAGGACCTCAAATCATAAGTAACAGATCACGTGTTGGTAGAAGATACTCAGTTACAGACCTGCTTGGTGTCCTATGTGCTGGAGAATCTGCCTGTGATACTGGACACAGTCTGGTCGATGCAAGGATTATGGAAAGACTGTACGTATGAATGGAAGTAACGGAAAAGTTTGATAGGTGTAGATTCAACCTCAAGAAAGTAATTTGAAATCTCAAATACGTTTGGAGCGTTGAAAATTTGCACGATAATTTGGACAAAAAGTGGGCCGAGTAAAGTGTTGGAGCAGTTTTACAAATGGTGGCGCAATAAAAAGCAGCTCGTTCGGATTGTCATTAAATTCACCTTGTCCCCATTATTGTCTGCACATTATTTACTTACTTACTCATGGAGCTGAGCCCTTCTGGAGGAGCCGCCAATTCTGCAGCTACTCAAGAATTTCCCAGCATTTTATGGAACCCGAAGGTTCGTTACCGTGTTCACAAGAGCCCTCCATTGGTCCATATCCTTAGCCAGATCAATCCAATTTGTACCATCCCATCCTATCTCTCTAAGATCCATTTTAATATTGTTCACCCACATACACCTTGGTTTTCCCAGTGATTTCTTTCCTTGTGGCTTTGCCACAAATATCCTATATATTCCTCGTCTCCCCCATTCGTGCTATATGCCCTGTCCACCCCATCCTCCTTGACTTGATCATTCGAATTATACTTGGAGAAGAGTAATTATGCAGTTTTCTCCAACCTCCTGTCACTTCATCTCTCTTCGGTCCAAATATTCTCCTCAAAACCCTGTTCTCAAACACCCTCAGTCTATGTTCCTCCCTTAATGTCAGAGACCAAGTTTCACACCCANGTTTCGGAGGAACGTATCGCCCCCATCTTCAGGGTTGAAGAAAAAGTATAGGTAAATCTGCAAGCGACGACACCGTGAGACACGGTAACGCAGACTGCGTTCCTCCGAAACGTCGGTTAACACCACATATACACGGCGCCAAAGCCCAGAAGACTGCTTTCTTCAGACTCAGAATAAGTTCATGAATATAAGTGACGTACAGGTAAATGATTTCATTGCTCACTTATATCACAAAACTACTATAAATTAAACTGCGCATTTTCCAAGTTATTCTTCATGGGATCAAAAGATTTATTGAAAATTTTTGTGGTTATTAAACATATCAATTTGAGAACCATTTAACTAGAGAGAAACTATCAGAAAGAAGGAAGCAGAATAAATTGCAATATTTGCAGAATCCAATCCGTATGAATGGGGACAAACTGAATGAGATAATAGGTGAAAGCATCACGACAAGTTGGTTTGTCTACCAACAGCAATTGGGTCATACTCTTTCACAGTTCTGAAATAGATTAGAATACAAGCGCAGCAGACGCTTTCGGTAGAAGAAATTGTAAATGAAGTAATGACGACTACGATGAACTTAAATAAATACTCATTCAATTCGCATGCAACTATTCACTGTTAGGAGATATTTACTAAAATTGATGAGAAAACAAAATTACTTGTATATAGGTCTGCTAAATGAATAAAGAAAACCGCACTAAGGTTCAATTTTCAATGTTTTTACACACTGTTAAGTGCAAATTAAATATATTAAATGTAAATTGTTTAATGTATGCTTCCAAATCGTTGGCTCAATCAGCTCATTAAGGAGTTTGTCAAAAGAAACCTAACACTGTACTGTATTATGTATCATATATCTAGTTAAATAAAAGTAACTTATTTTAGTAAGATCCCTTTTGAAACTATCTTTGGCGTTCTGAATCGTAACGAATCTTCATTCATTTCCAAAAACAGAGATACAATATATGCGAGAGAGGGGCGGATAGAAGTGACCAGAAGACGAGGAAGAAGACGTAAGAAGATGCTGGATGATCTTGGGGACAGAAGAGGATATTTTTATTTGAAGGAGAAAGCTTTAGATTGCATTAAGTGGAGGAACTGTTTTGGAAGAGACTGTGGACCTGTCGTCTGACAGATTATTGATGAATGAATGAATCTTATATTACCGAAAATATATCAGAATAAATATTTTGTGCCAAGTTAAAACTAACCATATACATAAGCAATGGATCGGCAGGGGGAAAAAAAAACATTGAAGTTAAAAATAGTCGCAATGGAATTTGCCCCAAAAGAGATATTTATGTTGACCGGATTTTAGACTGAGGCCATGATTTGGAATACAGCTCAGATGTCCTTCTCTGTTAACTTATAACGTTAAAGGATTTGTGAGGATCTATCGGGCATATAGGGAGTCCCAAGTTATGCAGAGAATGTTCTGTATATCAGAACAAGTCCTGAGTAGGAACAAGCCTGAAGGCCTACATCCCAGGACAGAGAAACAGTGAGAAGGGTGGAATTCTTGTTGCAGTAGCTGTGGTAGAAGAAGAAGAAGAAGAAGAAGAAGAAGAAAAGAATGTAGACGAAAAGGGAAATTTAGGTAGTTGCGAAAGTCGCCGACAGACGCATTCGGGACAGTGAGGAGCACGGCCATCAGTCTTTCGGAAGCACAAGAACCGTGAAGTTTGGAAGGTGAGTTCGGAACAGGGGATAAATCAAAACTTAATCATTGACTACTTTCTTGTTTATGTTGTTGTTTTGTGGATACAGAACCCTAAGCACGGTTAGCGAAATGTGCAGCATATCAGAGGGCAGACCCTTTCATACACGGTACCGGAATGAGAAACATATTTGTTGTATATCTCCAGAACAAGTGACCAAATTAACAAACAAATTTTAATAATATAGTACAATCAGGGTATATAATAAGTTGTCCATCACCTGATTTGCTGCAATTTATGGGTTTATTTTGCAGTATTTTCGCTGCACTGTGCACCAGATTTCAAATGATTTCTTTAATTGAAAACGGAAGCTAGTAAAGAAATTAAAAATAGTGGCTTGGGATAGAATTCGAACATTTAAGATAAATGCGTTTAATTCCATTCTTCCAAAATAATTAACCAATATTGTTAGAATAATTTATACGCCTTTTATTTTCGGTGCTGTAAGAAGTAAATGATATATTTTCAAGGTTCCCTTTATCTATGATACATTCCTCGACGTTTGTTGGTGTCTGCCATTATTCAACCATGTACAGAGCCCAGTTATTATAGAATGACGAATGCTACCTGCATTAGATATGGGAGAGTCCACTTTTACAAATGTGGGAGTGTCACTGCTGACAGCTACGCAAAACAGAGCTTCTACGTAGAGATATTAGTAAAAATACAAACATGGCAAAGAAGAGGAAAAGTGGTTAGTTATAAGAATAAACATGTGTCCTTTTTCGATAATATATCTCACCTTATTTGACTGCAAATGCTTCCTTCAAGATCTGCAGCTATGCGGTCGCCACCGCTCCTTCCGCTGTTGATATCGGAGTTCAATGCCCCGCTTTTCTACGCTAATACTTTTATTACCGCCCCGTCTCGTACAGGAGGAAGGCTACAAAAATAATAAAAAGTAGTTCAAGTCAAGGAGGATGAGGTGGGCAGGTCATCTAGAACGAATGGGAGAGACGAGGAGTGCGTATAGGAGATTGGTGGGAAAGCCAGAAGGAAAGAGACCACAGGGAAGACCAAGGCGTAGGTGGGTGGACAATATTAGACTGGATCTTAGAGAGATAAGATGGAATGGTATGGATTGGATAGATCTGGCTCAGAATAGGGACCAGTGGAGGACTCTTGTGAACACGATGATGAACCTTCGGGTTCCATAAAACGCTGGGAAATTCTTGAGTAGCTGCAGAATTGGCGGCTCCTCAAGAAGGGTTCAGCTCCATGAGTGAGTAAGTAAGTAGTTTTGTCGTGTTAATTCGAAAAGCAGTAGAAACCCACCATTAAATTCTAAGTAAATCACACCTCACACACATACACAATTTGTTAATAAGTAAGAAATATTATAGAATGATTTGACTAGAGAGTCCGGTGTGACTCGAGTGTGTGTGTGTGTATGATGCCTTTACATGTTTCGGTCAATTAATGACCATATTCAGAAGGCAAATAACAACACGCTGAGGAAATTACTGTTACATAAATCATAGTACATCAAGTTCAGAGTTGTCCAAAGTTTTATATGAATAAGGCCCAGAATGAATAAAATTAAACTCTTAAGTAAGAAAACTTTCATCCAACAACAACGTGACCTGTCTCTTTGAGAAATTACTGAATGTTGTTCAGAAATGCAAAATGCAGGCACTGGAAACTGCAACACGGATTGAACTTTAAATATTTCACAGCAACCAACGAAGTATCAGATTTGTGGAGCGGCTTCAGTTTGTAGCAACTAAGAGTCGATATCCTATTTTCGTGTAATTATATATGACACTGATAGCAACAGTTAAAATCCTTATTTCACATTCTTCGAGCCCTGTTTCGACTTTTGGGGACATGGATTGACTTTTCGACATCCGACTTTTGGGGTTTTGTGACTTTCTGAATAATCTAAAAAAATGGTTTAAGCTTCTCACATTTTTCCTTTGCCATTTTTTTATTCATTTAGCTATTATTCAACGAGAACCCTTCAGTACCTACATTAGACAACATAAACTTGAAGAAACGGAGACAATAAATAGTGTAGACATTAATTTGACGTCTTGTTTATTTCAGTTCTCCGCGTCTGGCGGTGTTCCAGAATAACTATGGGCACACGGATGCTGAAGATTTTTAAACGCAGTCTTCGGCAGTACGCTGAGCATTGGATAAGCAGGTTGCGTTTTGCTGGCGCCCAGTCCCGAGAAGAATGGCTCCGAGTGATTCAGTTGATAGAGAGAGAATGTGTAACGTTTAGCGAGTACATCGCCTGGCTGGGATCACACGGAACTGAAACCATCAACTGCATAGCAAGAGAATTTGTTCAGATCATAAATGATTACGACGAAGACAACGGACGTCTGTTTAATACTCCTGACGACTTAACAACCCATAAGCACATCTGTCGCAGTATGTTGGCAGCTATGTTGTCCCCTAATATAACGGATTGGAATATCGGCCTTGCAACGTCAGCATTAATGAAAGAGCTCATGATATTGTCATTCCCAAGACTCCCGAATATTACATGCCTAAGGGTAGCGCCAGATACACTCAATGAATGTTCCTCGTTGTTTACAAATAATATCCGGACGTTAAAACATTTGCAAGAATTCTATTTCCCATTCGGATGCTCCACGCAGGTATTGGCAGAATTGGGGAAACATTGCAACCAACTCAGGAGGCTTTCTGTAATGTCATCTAAATATGTGGACGACGACAGCATAACCCACTTGCTGAAACTCACTAAGTTGGTATTTCTGAACGTTGACGACACTGCCATTAGTCCCAAATGTTACGGCACGATAATCTGTAGCTTGCCAGATCTTGGGAATATCACTTGGACAAGCCCTGTGGATGATGTTCTGTTGAGCATCACCAAGGAGGGCCTTCCTTCAGTGAAATCACTGAATGTAAGTGTGCGAAGTGTGCTCATTGTGGTCCTCAAATGTCCGTTCGTCACGCACTTATCACTACTCGGAGCCAAAGATAGCTTATTGAGCCTTAGGGAACTTGTTGCTGTGGCAGTGTTGACACTTGTGAGCTGCGACTTCGACGCTGTTAACTTGGCCGCCGTCTTGCAAGGTATTGGCCCCAAGCTCAGAGAGCTATATTTGAGTAAAGTCACTAATGTGAGAATTCAGTATTTGTTAAAGTTTTGCGATTCCCTCGAGACACTCTTCATCGACTGCTGTGAATTTATTCCTTCAGAAATTCGCCACTTCGATCATGAATTGCCACATTTCCGAAGCCTCTCGTCTCTAGAACTGAGAGCAAACCGGTGGTATGGAAAAATGCATTCTTTTTTGTTGTACTATGTTAATTTGAAAGTGTTAACTGCGAGATGCACCCCGGAGATAGACGACAGGACTATAATGTCTGTTCTCCAATACAAAGGATTTCGGCGGCTCAAGAAATTCTCGGCGATTAATTGTGGACCACTGAGTATGATCTCCGCCTCTTTACTCATAAAGGAGTGTGCCAATCTGAACTGTCTCAAAGGTGTCGGAACTTGGTCTGGAGTTACTGAGGAAGACATAGTCAATCTGATGCGCATGACGAGGTACGGTAGGGTCCCAATTACTATAGTTCTATAGGCATCCCTGACAGTAATACCTAAAGAGGTGCTGTAATATTAACGTCGTTTTGTATCTTGTGATTTAAAAATTTGTTTCAAATTGTGTTGCTACATTTACATCTCAGTACACATGACAAACTGGAAGACACTTGAGTAGCAGAATACAACACGTTTTACAATAATAATAATTTGATCTCATTTTGAAGATAGTATCTATGTATTCAACAAATATTTTAAGATAATTTTATGTTAATAAATGAGACTGAAATGAAACTAACTTACCTGACTTCTGTAACTGTTCCACTCACCCACCCTGCCCTCTGTTATGTTCTTGAGATCAACTGAGAAACCAAGAATCAAAGCCACCCACAAATCACAATCCTGTGTGGTTCCGCGGCAGGAAATGATGTTACGAAGAAGAAATTACTCAGAACACATGAGGCGAACAGCAAGAAGTATCTTAAGACAGGCTTCTCGTTGCTCGATCCACGTCAATTAATGAAATACTGGCGTCATCCATGATTACATTAATATCCTCATAGTGTAAATCGAGTAAGATAATATTAAAATTTTAAGATACAAATTCACAAAATTAGTGAATATTTTGTATAGTCAATTAAATATTAAATTCATTCATTCATCTGTAATCTGTCAAGACGACGGGTCCACAGTCTCTTCCAAAACAGTTCCTCCACTTGATGCGATCTAGAGCTTTCTCCTTCAAATGAAAATATCCTCTTCTGTCCCCAAGGTCATCCAGCATCTTCTTACGTCTTCTTCCTCGTCTTCTGGTCACTTCTATCCGCCCCTCTAGTTTTCCTTCAATAACTTCTTTTAGAAGGCTGTCACCGCCTAAGATATGACCAATACAATTAGCCTTCCGTTTTCTTATTTCGTGTAGGATATTCCTCTGCTCACTCACTCTAAATAACACTTCTTCATTTCTCACATAATCGGTTCAACTGATCTTCTCCATCCTTCTCCAACACCACATTTCGAAGCTTTCCAGGTGTTTCTGATCTGGTAAAAGGTAAAGGTGTCCCTGCGCTTAATTTATTAAGCACTACGCCATGAAGGCGTATGGGGGAGTGGTTGTATAAATCCACATTTTCTTGACCTCGGAACTAACTGGAGGTGAATGGTCAGCTTTGGGCCCCTGTCGCTTCACCCCCATAGAAAGAGGCCCTGGTACCCATTGGATAGGAGGCTGGATGGGTCCCAGAGCCGGTCTGGATTATTTGGAGAAAATTCTTGACCCTACCGGGACTCGAACTCTGACCCCTCTTTTGTCCAGTCCGTAGGTATACCGACTGCGCATTCCCGGATCCCACAATGCTATAGTAGCTTACTTCATATAGCGTCTAAAGCTGCCGTGACTAGCAAATCGTGAATTGGAAAAGATGAGTAAGGAAGCGGTCCTGGTCTGTTTTGAGCTACTATCCTCATATTTGCCTGGAAGGACTGAGGAAACCAAAGGCAAACCTTAGGAAAACCGGGCTCTCGTCCGAGATTTGAAAACTGTACCTCCAGAAAATCGAAGCAGGTGTGCTAACCTTTCAATCGCGACTCACGACATTAAATATAATTGTCACGAAATCAAAATAAACATGTGAACTAAGAATATGTTGATAATAAACGTATTTATGAGTTATACAAAATCCGACGTCTCATTGGCACTGTCTTTACGTCTAAAGGAAACCAGGAGTAGCCACAGTGTAACAAATGCCTCAGAAAGGGAATTCTGTCGCGTCTGTCCACCTACAAGCATTGGAGGGTTTGCTTCTCTGTCTTTCTTTTCTGACAAACTTGAGTCACAGTTGGGAGTGCACAGAACAATAAACCTCACTTCCGACCTACAATGATCATTCTTTCTGCCAAGCTTTCGTAATATTGTCTGTCTCTCTCGCTGTGACTCCTGAACAATAACTTTCCGGCAAGCAGAATCCAAGAAATCGTGCGACTGAAGTTGAAACCATGCAAACATAACACCTAAGAACTGAATAAGCCTGACCTTGGTTTTAATTTAAACAAGAAACTCAGGGAGGGACGAATCTCCTGCTTCCATTTGATACAAGGACCCCATAGAAAAGCAAGAAATTTCTGGGGGAGCACACGGACAGCAAGGCGAGTATATAAACCTCATAACAAAAATAAGAGGGGGATGCACACACAGACAGCAAGGTGATATCAGAAGCATCATAAATCTAAAAAAATTTGGGGGATACACAGGCAGATGGTCAGACAAAGATGGATACACAGAGAGTCAGCAAGGTGATCTGATAAGCCTCATTTTTTCAAAATAAGGTAAATATGCTAAAATACACATTGATGATACTGGAATATCAAGGATGAAAATATGAATTAGTCGTGGCGGATTAAGTAGGCAAGAAGCAGTGCTTCCCATGTGTGCTTTATTTGAATAAAATTTGGAGGCCGCCTCCTGACACACGACGGTAAAGCAAGTGTCACGTAACTTCGAACAAGGCCAAGAGTAACCTTGAATGCGCAGAAGAAAAATTTCAGGCAAGGGGGTGGGTTCGAGGGTGTGAGAAGTGACAGGCGGCCAGTTGACAAACAACTGGCCATCTGTCACTTATCACACCCTCGAACCCACCCCCTTGCCTGAAATTTTTCTTCTGCGCATTCAAGGTTACTCTTGGCCTTGTTCGAAGTTACGTGAAACTTGCTTTACACAGTAGCACAGGGCGATGAAATGAATGCAATTTAGACATCCGTCATAAATGAGTAGTGTAACTACAAATGTGGGGACATGACCGACTGTACCATGCAAGACTGTGAATTGTGCTTTGTCAGAGAAGACTACAGACAAATTGGATATGCAAATATGAGCCATATAAAGGGGAGATAATATAGGGACTCCAAAAATAGAGCTTAAATCAACTTCCAATTTCGTAATATCCATTCAGTCACAGTTATTCTGTGTGCTTCATGTAAGTGTATGTAAACTCGCCTCAATATGGCCGGAGCCCTGGGCGCAATAAGTGGGTGAAGATGAAGAGGTATAAGAAATTAAATAGGATGACGACAAGGAAAGAAAATTAGAGGAGTGGGAGAAGGCGACCAAAGTCTTGTATATATATCTCTTGTCTTTTATGCGTGCCACATGTCCTGTCCAATCATGCATCTTGATTAGATCACCATAGTAATATCTGTCGAAAAGTAAAAGTCATTGAGCTCGTTATTATTCAAAGTTGTCCAGTCTTCTGTCACGTCTATTTCTCAAGTCCACATTTTCTCCTCACCACCCCCAGCCCAGACCAATCATAAAAGCTTTATACGTATAAAAAAAACTAGTAAGTTTTCAAAGAGGGTCGTTTTCATATACTGCCTGAGACTTCAGATATAATTTTCTTTTGTTACCCCCTTCGAACTACTTGCAAAATATCAAGCACAAACTACAAATAAAATCTCTTTTATTATGTCAGATATTACTTGTGAGAAAGTGTATATGTAGTACACGTATATGTGAACGTATGGAATAAAACTGCCAGATGATAAAGTTAACTCGACACATCGCCGTTAATGTTGTATTCCTTTCGGAACCAACGCATCAGCAAGAAGCGTCATATTCTTCTTCTTTCCTGTCCTTTTCTTTCCTTTTTATTATTTTCTTTGTTGTCAATTTCATCCCTTATTACCTTTTCCCCTTCCTATTCCATTTCCTCTTATCTTTTTCTTCTTCCTCCCCTTATAATCTTCTTTCTTCTTCGTTTCCTTCTCCTTTTTCTTCTCTTGGTACTTCTTTATTTCTTTTTCATTCGCATAATCCTCCTTTATTCCTCCTTGTCCTACTCATCTTCCTTCATCCATGCCTTCTTTACTTCTTAATTTTGTTCCTTGGCTGTCCTGAACCACAGATACTTGCATTCAGGTTCTGAAAGGGACACGGAAATTCTGTAGTAAATCAAAGCACTGCCTAAGCTGTGTTGTAGGCGGCTAATTGAATACCAAATCCTAAAAAATTACCAAAATTTAGAAGTAATTTGTGGTTCCGAGCTTGCGGTTTCATGGCGCTTGGGGTATGCTGAGGCATCTTCGGTCACTGGGAATTTCTTTCAACTAACTAATTCCTCCATCGCGCAGACATTTTGTGTCACTGATCAGCCATGTTGGCTTCGTTACAGTCAGGAATCTTCTGGTGTGAGCACGTCCTATGAGTCATTTCAATAATTCAATTCAATTCATGTTTATTTACGTGTAATAACTTAACAGCACAGTGGCCATTTACAAAGTTAGGAGAGTATATAAAGTTACAGAAAAATAATTAAATACAATACAAATATGACAGAAATAAATCAGTGAGCATAAATCTAAAGGAGACTTAAATATATACATACATTTATGAATTATGAATTATTATGAATGTTGCTAATACTATTAGCAACTAGATACTAAGTAAGATAAGACAACTGGGAGTGATAGCATAAAATTAATAACAAGTCTAATAAATTAATACCAATTACATAAGAAAATTAAAGTTAGCCGAGGTATACACATTTGTAGTTAATGAGAACACTAATCCAGTAACACTGTAAAAGGTTTGGTACATGCTTGTAAAATATGATTCAGAGAAACCGCTCCGTGTGCAAATATGTCGAGATCTTTACCCACCACGTTGGTAGCAAAGGCGCACCGTGAAGAGGGACAGTGTCTTTTTGAGGGACGAACGCTAAAAGTAGAGAAGTCTCGAACATGGCAAGTAGGAACACGAAGACTAGCATTATCCAGAAGGGAGGAGCAGGATTTAAGGCCACCATAAACCTGAATGAAGAAGAGTGCATCAAGAAGATGTCTACACAGACTTAGAGGGTGCAATCTTAGTCTCTCTAAGGCAGATGTATAACTATAGGAGCTATGAGGGAAGTAACGATAGAAACAGACAGATGCAAACTTTTTCTGGATGCGCTCAAGTTTTGCGGAGTCAGTAGA